TTTTGTTTTTAAATTAAGCAATTAATTATTCAATAGATTTGCCAGTAAGCACCCCGGGTCATTAAGTTAAAGGCAGTTTGTTATTAAATTTAGCAATTAATTGTTTAATACAGTTGCTTGTAAGCGCCCTACGCAATTGAGTGAAAGTCGCTTTTAGAATAAATTTAGCAATCAATTATTTAATTAATTTGCCAGTAGGCGCCCCGGGTCATTGGGTGAAAGAGGCTTTTGTTATTAAATAGAGTCATCAATTATTTAATACAGTTGATTGTCAGTGCCCCACATTATTGGGCAAAAGCCGCTTTTGATATTTAATTTAGCTTTTAATTATTAAATACATTTTCCACTAGGCGCCACGGGTCATTAGGTAAAAGGCGCATTTCTCATTAATTTTTGCAATTAGTTATTTAAGACGTATGCCAGTAAGTGCCTCATATCATTAGCGTCAAGGCGCTTTGGTTAATAAATTTAACAATTAATTATTAAAGACGTTTGCCAGTAATCACCTTGAGACATTGGGTAAAAAAGGCTTTTGGTAAAAAATTTAATAAATCATTATTAAATATATTTGCTAGTAAGAGCCCCGGGTCATTCGGTGAAAAGCGCTTTTGTTATTAAATTAGGCAATTATTTATTCAATTGATTCGCCAGTAAGCGCCCTGGGTCATTGGTCGAAAGGCGTTTCTGTTATTCAATTGGGAAATTCATTATTCAATAGATTTGCCAGTAAGCGGCCCGGGTCATTGGGTATAAGGCAGTATGTTATTAAATTTAGCAATTATTTGTTCAATACAGTTGCTTGTAAGCACCCCACGTAATTAAGTGAAAGTTGCTTTTATATTAAATTTAGCAATCAATTATTTAATTCATTTGCCAGTAGGTGCCCTGGGTCATTGGTCGAAAAACGCTTCTGTTATTAAATTGAGAAATTCATTATTTAATACAATTGCCAGTTAGTGCCCTGGGTCATTTAGTGAAAGGTGCTTTCGTTAATAAATTTAGTAAGCAATTATTTAAAACGATTACCAGTAAGTGCCCTGGGTCATTTGGTAAAAGACGCTTTTGTTATTCAATTCAGCAATTAATTATTTTACACATTAGCCAGTAAGCGCTGCCGGTCATTGGGTATAAGGCAGTATGTTATTAAATTTAGCAATTATTTGTTTAATACAGTTGCTTGTAAGCACCCCACGTAATTAAGTGAAAGTCGCTTTTATATTAAATTTAGCAATCAATTATTTAATTCATTTGCCAGTAGGTGCCCTGGGTCATTGGTCGAAAAACGCTTTTGTTATTAAATTGAGAAATTCATTATTTAATACAATTGCCAGTTAGTGCCCTGGGTCATTTAGTGAAAGGTGCTTTCGTTAATAAATTTACTAAGNCCAGTAAGCGTCCCAGGTCATTGGGTGAAAGGCGCTTTTGTTACTTAATTGAGCAATTAATTATTAAATACATTTCCTATTAAGCTTTCCAGGTCATTAGTTAAAAAGCGCTTTTGTAAATAAATTAAGCAATTAATTATTATACGCAATTGAACGTAATACGTTTGCCAGTAAGCGCCCTGGCTGATTGGGTAAAAGAGGCTTTTGTTATTAAATTCAGCAATTTCTTATTAAATACAGTTGCTTGTAAGCGCCATACGTTATTGGGCAAAAGGCGCTTCTGATATTTAATTTAGCTTTCAATTATTTAATACATTTCCCAGTAGGCGCCATGGGTCATTAGGTAAAAGGCGCTTTTCTTATAAATTTTAGCAATTAGTTATCTAAGACGTATGCCAGTAAGCGCCCTAGGTCATTGGCAGAAAGGCGCTTTTGTTATTAAATTCAGCAATTAATTATTTAAGACGTATGCCAGTAAGTGCCTAGGGTCATTGGGTGAAAGGCGCTTTGGTTATTTAATGTAGCAATTAATTATTAAAGACGTTTGCAAGTAAGCACCTTGGGTCATTGGGTGAAAGGCGCTTTTGTTAAAAAATTCAATAATCAATAATTCAATACGTTTGCCAGTAAGCACCTTGGGTCATTGGGTGAAAGGCGCTGTAGTTTTTAAATTTAGCAATTTATTATTNGCGCTTTTTTTATTAAATCGTGCAATTCATTATTTAATACATTTGCCAGTAAGCACCATGGGTCATTGGATGAACGGCGCTTTTGTTATTAAATTTAGCAATCAATTATTTAATTCATTTGCCAATAGGCGCCCTGGGTCATTGGGTAAAAAGCGCTTTTGTTATTTAATTTAGCAACTAATTATTTATTACATTTGACAGTAAACGTTCCGGGTCGTTGGGTGCAAGGCGCTTTTGTTAATATATTTTCCATCTAATTATTTAAGCCGTCTGCCAGTAAGCGCCCCGGGTCATTGGGTGGAAGGTGCTTTTGTTAATAAATTTAGCAATTAATTATTAAATACATTCGCCAGGAAGCGCCCTGGGTCATCGGGTGGAAGGCGTTTTTGTTATTAAATTGAGAAATTCATTATTCAATACATGTGCCAGTTATTGGCCTGGATTATTTTGTCAAAGACGCTACTGTTATAAAACTTAGCAATTAATTCTTCGAAACGTTTGTTTGGTCATTTGGTATAAGGCAGTACGTTATCAAATTGAGCAATTTATTATTTAATTCATTTGCCAGTAAGAACCCTGGGTCGTTGGTTAAAAGGCAGTATGTTATTGAATTTATCAATTAATTGTTTAATACAGTTTCTTGTAAGCACCCCACGTAATTGAGTAAGAGTCGCTTTTATATTAAATTCAGCAATTAATTATTTAATTCATTTGCCAGTAGGTGCCCCGGGTCATTAGATAAAAGACGCTTTTGTTATTAAATCGTGCAGTTAATTATTTAATACATTTGCCAGTAAGCGCCATGGGTCATAGGTTGAAAGGCACTTTTGATATTAAATTTAGCAATTAGTTATTTAATACAGTTGCTTGTTAGCGCCCTGGGTCATTGGGTTATAAGCGCTTTTGTTACTAAATTGAGCAATAAATTATTGAAAACATTCGCCATTAAGCACCATGGGTCATTGGGTGAAAGGTGCTTTTGTTAAAAAATTTAGTAATCATTTATTCAAAACGTTTGCCAGTAAGTGTCCCGGGTCATATGGTAAAAGGCGCTTTCGTTATTAAATTTAGCAATGAATTATTTAACACATTAGCCAGTGAAGGTCCCGGTTATTAAGTGAAAGGCGCTTCTGTTATAAAATTGAGCAATTAATTATTTAATACAGTTGCTTGCAAGCGCCCTACGTCATTCAGTGGCAGTCGCTTTTATATNGTATTACGATGCTTTTCCTGCATTCAATATAAATGATTAAACTTTCCTAATAAACATAAATAAAAGCAATGAAGACAAAATGATACATTGAATAAAAAAAAATAAAAAAAATATCTACCATGAAGTGGATTTGAACCCTTACGTGCAAAACAATCTATAAAGGGGCATAAGCCGAATCCATCTTAGCTATCGGAAGGACGAGAAGTACCTCTTTCGAAGTCACATATGTTCATGGATATCCTCCGGAGCTTGTCCTACAGTTTACAGAAGTTAGGATGTGTGAAATTAATAAATTAATGGTTAATTTTTTGAAAACATAAATGGATTTGGGAATTTTAAGAGTACGGGAGAGNGCGCTTTTGTTATTAAATTGAGCAATTTATTATTTAATAGATTTGCCAGTAAGCGCCCCGGGTCATCGGGTGAAAGGCAGTTTGTTATTTAATTTTGCATCTAATTATTTAAGACGTTTGCTAGTAAGCGCCCTGGGTCATTGGGTTAAAAGTGCTTTTGTTATTAAATCGAGCATCCAATTATTTAATACATTTGCCATTAAGCGCCACGGGTCATTACGTGAAAGGCGCTTTTTTTATTAAGTCGTGCAATTAATTATTTATTACATTTGCTAGTAAGCACCATGGGTTATTGGATGAATGGCGCTTTTGTTATTAAATTTAGCAATCAATTTTTTAATTCATTTGCCAATAGGTGCTCTGGTCCATTGGGTGAAAAGCTTTTTTGTTATTAAATTCAGCAACTAATTATTTATTACATTCGCCAGTAAGCGTTTCGGGTCATTGGGTGCAAGGGGCTTTTGTTAATATATTTTGCATCCAATTATTCAAGACGTCTGCTAGTTAGCGCCCCGGGTCATTGGGTGAAAGGCGCTTTTGTTAATAAATTTAGCAATTAATTATTTAATACATTCGCCAGTAAGCGCTCTGGGTCATTCGGTGAAAGGTGCTTTCGTTAACAAATTTAGCAATTAATTATTTAATACATTTGCCAGTAAGTGCCCCGGGTCATTGGGTGAAAGGCGCTATTGGTATCAAATTTAGCAATTAATTATTTTAGATATTTGCTTGTAGTTACCTCGGCTCATTGGGTTGATTAGCTTGGGTTTATTTTATTAATTTATTTTTAATAAAAGTGTTATCTGGGTTTTTGCGTCATGCCCCATGTAGCATATTTGAATTTCCCGCCTAGTTATTCTATCACTTCTGAGATTGCTGGTGTTAGACATTGCAGAGTGCACACCACTTTACGTGTTTATATGAACACTTACACATTGGTGACCCATTGGCGGCGAAGCTAAGTTTTCACTTATCGCTGCTTTTCTCTTGCCTTATCTCTGCCTTTGCTGCGCAAGTGGTTCTCCCCCGCTATCTCTATCGAACGTCCTGGAAGCTCACTAGCGAATCACAATATTCCCAATAGGGACATTTAGGGACCCTGTCACCTTTTAGCCTGTCACCCTGCGGTAACTATAACGCAGCGTTCTCTCTCGCACCAATGAAAATATCACCGGACAGGCCGTGTGTTCCAGTATCTTTCTCCGTCTACTTACCGACAACTGCAATATGACGCAAGATATCGTAAGACATAATTAAGTTGTCGGTAGGTTGTCGGAGAGCGTTATTGGAACACACCCATGCAGGGTTATGTGGGGCAAGCGCTCTCTATCTTTGTATCTCTATGGCCGCGACCGGGGATGGCGCGGGCTGATATAAAATTGTTGTACGTTCATGTTAACACAGGTACTTATTTTCATTTGCACACTTACCTACTGTGGTACGATAAAACTAATAAATGCGATAGTAAAATATACTTTAAGTATGTGGACATAGTAACCAGACCAGTAGTGAGCTGTATAGGTTTGCAGAGGTCGTTATTAAAAAGAAAGAGAGATAGACAGAGTGTAAAATGCCCGAGATATCAATAAAAAGTAAGCTGACACAGTTCTTCAACTGTCGAATCTTGAGACATGGAAGGATTTCTGTAGAGGATTTATGGGTAAGGGGTGGCAAGATCATTGATCCAGAAAAAATATTTTATGATGAGAGAGTCAAGCCTGATGAAAAAATCAACTGTAAAGGTGCCCTGATATCTCCTGGCTTCATTGATATTCAAATAAACGGTAGGCTAACTTAAGTCTGACAATGCCTTAAGGTTTTTGTGCTTTCTGAATAAAGTATCTGTTTTGTATACCTATTTGTTGAGTCAGGTGGTTTTGGAATTGATTTTTCATGCAATACTGAAAACGTTGAAAGAGGAGTAGACACTGTGGCCAAAGAACTTTTATCCTCTGGGGTGACAGCTTTTTGTCCAACATTAGTTACTTCACCTAAAGAATTTTACCATCAAATTCTTCCAAGAATAAAAAAACGGAATGGAGGTAGGCAAGGAGCAGCCATACTAGGGGTGCACGTCGAAGGACCGTTTATAAGCCCACTCAAAAAAGGAGCACATCCCGAAAACTGTATCCAAAAGTTTGAAAATGTCATTAATAAAGTCCCTTTCAATCACCAATCTTCTTGCTTATGAACTATAAGTAACCCAGGTATTTTTTAATTCTTCCAGGGTTTTCAAACTCTGCTTGAAACATATGGCAGTCTTGAAAATATTTGCTATATCACGTTAGCTCCAGAAATTGATAATGCAATGGAAGTGATAAGAGAATCAAGAAAACAGGGTATAAAGATTTCTGTTGGTAAGTACAAACAGTAACAAAAGTATTATTCAACACAATTTAAGATCTTTATGACTAACTACTGACAATAATGAGGTGCATTAGTCTGATAATTATCTGAGGTATATTTGACATACATTGCTTTTAATGCACTATTATTCTTTAATTACATTGTATATTTCTGTAAATTAACAATTACTTATAATTTGCAGGTCATTCTGTAGGAGATTTAAGCCAAGGAGAAGAAGCTGTTAAAAATGGTGCTACATTTATAACACATCTATTCAATGCAATGCTACCAGTAAATTATTACTGATATCACTTATAATATTTATCTAATCAAAGGAAAACGTTATCATCTATACGTGATAAATACCATTTTTCAGTTTCATCACCGAGATCCTGGCCTTGTGGGATTGCTTGCTTCTGACAACTTACCACCAAAGCAAACAATATACTATGGTATAATAGCCGATGGTGTTCATACTCATCCAGCTGCTTTGAGAATTGCTCATCGTACGCACCCCAAGGGTACAAACTTTGTTTTGAAATTTGCAAGGTATGATCATGAATATTTATGAAAAGGATTTTCTCTCTAGGTCTTGTTCTAGTAACAGATGCGATTTCCGCTCTTGGCCTTCAGGAAGGTGTACATCAATTAGGGCAACTTGCTATAGAGATTAGACAGGGTCGTGCATACATTGCAGGTTCAGAAACGTTGTGTGGTAGTATAGCTGATATGGCAGGATGTGTCAGATTCTTTCAAAAAGCATCAGGTAAATTTTTAAAGTAAACCTTAAGACAAAATCATTCAAGGAAGTTTGTAATTTTGGTGGTACAATGTTTAAAAAAAACCAACCAGTGGATAGTGGGTACTTCGGTCTCCAAGTATGGAGCTATACGACGTTATATGGTAGCCAGTGTAATTACGAATTTCCCTGTACCATATACCTTCTATGAAACGATATTGTGTACAAAGGTGGTGCAATTATCGTTCGAATGAGTATACCTACATTCATTTAGTGAGGTTTCAATAAATACTTTAATATTTAATAAATGGACGATTATTAACAATACACTACTTAGATAAGAAAAGTTTTAATCAAAGTTACAGCACAATGTGCTACCAGGCTGGACAGTACAAGAGTGATGAGCGCTTTTATCACATCATTTGATGATTTCAAAACAACTTCCTACCGCCTACGCTGATTACATCTCCAACGTCATGCTCACATCTGTCACATACGCTCGCACATTTATTCCTAGTCCGTATTTAATACCCAAAATATAGTTGGATTCAAAAGGTTTAGAAAAACCATCGTGTAGTATCACTTTTTAAAATAGAGCAGTATTATTTATATATACCAGTGAATGTCCCTACAGCACGTTCATCACGTAGGTTTTTTTGACAGATGTTATTCAGACATCGAACGTATATTCGAAATAGCATGAAAAATTTCCCTTGTTTAATATGCTTCCCGAGATGTTTACTTTTTAAAAATCTTTATTTTATATGTAACATTATGAGAGAATCACGTAAAATTGCATTTATTTCATCTGTAGGGATCTCCTAATTTTTTTTTGTGAGAAACATTACTTTTAAATAAACGTATTAAATTTTCAAATATATCCACAAGTGGTTTAAAGACCCCCCACACCCCAGCCAAATAAAGCATAAAATATCAACGAAAAAAAGATTAAGTCGACGTATTTTAATTAGCTCCTGTCAGAAAAAAGTTTTACAAAATTATCTCCGTTTTATAAAAAAGGGTTATAACAAAATTTATCAGTGATGCCGACATCTTTGATATCTTCCGGATTAGGTCATTTTGTTTAACTGGACCAGGCCAGAGATTAGTAGGAAGATTGCTGACTGCCATGCTACGGAGTGTGCCCACTTTTTTCCAGTGGTTCGAGCGCCCCGCCGCGGCCAAGCGGCCGAACCAGGCGCACATTTTTTTTTTTATTTGAGCAGCACGGTAGGGGTACGAGAAGAGTGGATTCGCGTGGAAATGTCCATATAGGCGCACATTTTGGAGACGCGTGGAAGGGGTATACCGAATGTGCGCCTACGAGGAGAGGAGTGGAAATGTCGGCTATATAGCTGTATATATCTGAACGCACAGCCAAAGCAAGCGACGATACGAGTTTTTCTTTTTTGAGAGTCTTTGGACTCTGCAACTGAGTACATGCTATATGTATATATTTAACTGACTTGCTCTCGCTCTGGCTTCAATGTTATCCATAAATCTTATTTAATTAAATCGTGGAACTAAATGCTCATTAATTATATACACAGAATTTTGATTTCAATACATTATGTTTTAA